TATAGTCATACAAAAAGTTAAAGCAAATTGGAGAGGAGAGGACATAAAAGAGTTAGGAATATGTGAGATGCAGTGGATTTTTAATTTTAACACTCTAAGTCCTTTGGGTCTTAACGAAGAGTTATGTCATTTTTTATAGGTTTTATATTAACAAAACAAATGTTTTTATTTTATTGGAGTTTATTCCTCTCCTTCACAACCAGAACATATTCATTGTGATTCTCTTCTCTTTTTAAAGACCTTTTTTAGGAATTTTTAATGCTGTTGTCAAATGTTATTTTAAATTGAGGAAGCCTTATCGACGAAACGCGTCTAGGATGAGAGTTGGACGAGACGCAAGGATAAGATTCTTCAGACTTTTATATCATTATTTGTTTTTTATTAATTCACACTTGTTTTAACATGTATTAAAATAAATCCCCTTTTAATCTGAAGTAACTTTCCCTAGTCCATTCTTGGAAGCATATATCTTTTCCTGGTTTTCACAAGGGGGTGTCACCCTGAAACTTGACACCAAGCTGAAAGTTTGGAGCCCATTATATAATAGCCTCCAAAAAAGGTGAGCAATTCTATATATACAGTCACACCAATTATATATTGATTGCACACAGATTGCTGTTTTGTTTCTATTACATATACACATTTTTTATGATAAAAATCTCATAACCAGTGCAGTACAGAAGAAGGTAGATGTTGCCACCTATTTAAAGGCACAGAGGCCGTTTTGATAAGAGCCTACACTAACAAATGGTTCTAACAAATGTGAGTTGGATGCACATCTACTCTCAAGTGTATCTGTAATTTTTTTGTGTTGAGACATTGTATACAATATCACATTATTTTGTATTATTTGTTTCCATTTTTAGTCTAGTTTTATGTTCATTTCCTTGTGGATTTTTGGGACTTTTTTTATTCACTAAGCGCCTTATTTTACACACTAAGCTTGCATGTGTTTGTGTTCACTCTCCAGGTAGGGAGGCTGGGTGGAAAATTTAAAATTATAATAATAGTAATAATTTGTGAGTGTATGTGTGTGTGTCTGTGAGTGTGTGTATGAGTGTATGTGTGTGTGCGTGTGTGTGTCTGTGAGTGTGTGTGTGTGTCTGTGTGTCTGTGAGTGTATGTGTGTGTCTGTGTGTCTGTGAGTGTGTGTGTGTGTGTGTGTATGTGTGTCTGTGTATGTTTGTGAGTGTTTGTCAAATCAGTGAGAATCTGTTTGTTATTGAGTGTGTGTGTGTGACTATCAGTGTACCTGTCAATGAGTGTCTGTCAGTGTTTGTGTCAGTCAGTGTGTGTGTCAGTGAATGTGTGTGTGTGTCAAATCATTTTGTGTCTGTCAGTGACATATGTGTGTGTGGCTGTCAGTGTGTATCTGCCAGCGTGTGTATGACGGTGAATGTGTGTGTGTCTGTCATAGTGTGTGCTTAAAGGGACACTATAGGCACCCAGACCATTCCGTTCATTGAAGTGGTCTGGGTGCAGTGTCCCAGTCCCCTTAACAACCAAAATGAAATCCAGCGTCTGCTAATCACCATAGGAAAGAATTGATACAATGCTTTCCTATGGGGAAGCCTAATGCAAGCACGCAGGAGGAGCCAGACCCAGCGCTGAGGGACATCGGTGCTGGATTCAGGTAAGTGACTGAAGGTGTTTGACCCCTTCAGTGCCAAGTGGGTGGGTGGCAGGTGAGGGGGGCACAAGGGAGGAGGGCACTATAGTTTCCCTTTAAAGAGGAAGGGGTGGGTTCTTAATCAGATAGAGGTGCAGCCTTGATATGAAGGGGTGGGGCAAATTTAGATTAGGGGGTGCCCAAGTTTAGTCATGCCTAGGGCAGCACAAAACCAAAATACACCACTGATACTGGTGTTGGAGATCATGGAATGCCTCATTGTTGGAGATCATGGGATGTTTCATATGTTTCACAAAAAAATGCACATTTATTGTGAAAACCCCTTTTTTATTTATGTTTTTCAGTTTACCTCTGGATCAGTGATCCTTAGTTAAAAAAAATCACAGAGATAACATACTGTGACATCACAGAGGTAACATTCCGAACTGCTGCTATAACTGCTAGAACATTCTATGTTTCTATGTCCTCTCAGACATATTTGTACCTCTGACTGAGCTTTACCACATGTATATCTCCACGGTATAGAGATCTACACCTCAACTAGATGTATCTGAAGACTTGGAGCTCAACTACCCTAAAGTAGTCTACTACCCTGGGTTCTTGAACTTTGGAGGTTCTAGCTGGGGATGGTCTATTTTGCACAGCTACTCAGAAAACCTTTTATCAAATACTGGTGCTTCTTCAATCCTTATATAATTTGTGTGCTCTGCATTGGAGAGGCACAAAATGGAGGGGGAAAGGGAAGAGAAAATGTGTCTAGCTTTATATGTATACATATAAATGTTGTTCTCTATCTGTCTGTCTATTTCTATATCTACCATTTACCTGTTATTGTACTGTTGCTATTTAAATGCAGTGATACACTTGGTGAAGTGATTATGTTTTAATGCAAATATGTTTGCATGTAGTGTTGGCTTTTAAATGCAGGTGCACATTTGCGTGCAGTATTTGTGTTTGAATGAAGGAGTTTGTATATCATTTTGGATTTTGAATGCAGGAGTATCTTTTTGTATAATGGTTTTATTGGATTGTAGTGGTGTGTTTTCATATAGTGTTGGTGATTGCAAACATTGCAGCAATTAAACATACTTACACAGACATACATGCACATTAACACACACAGATGTACATATATAAACAATGACACACACTGAAACATACACATACTGACATATTCACACTGACACATACACATGACCTGACACACAGATACACACAGGAAGGATTTGAACTTACTTCCGCCCAGGCTGCCGATATCACTGCTAACCGCTAGCAGGACACTTTGCCTGACTAGGCCATGTTTAGCAATACCCATAAGGTAGCGTGGACCACCCAATGGGCCTCCTGAGCGTGAGGGCCCCCGTTGCAGACGCACTGGCTGCACCAGCGGTAGATGCGAATTGGAAAACAAAATTAGCTGCTTGTGCCAGGAGCACACATATTCTAAACTCCCTACTGGGATTAGGGCTGGTGCAAGGATTTTTGCCGCCCTAGGCAAAAGAAAGATTCCCCCCCCCGGGACATCGCAACAATGCCCCACCCATATGATCTGCCATATGAACTAATGCCAGTGCTGCACACAGTGTGTGTTTACATTAAAAAGCCTACAGGGACAAACTATAGACACCAGAACAACTTTATTAAGCTGCAGTGGTTCTGGGGACTATAGTGTCCATTTAATGTGAGGTAAATTAGAGATTAGTGTCACTAATAATATACTAGATTGCCTACTTACAATCAGATGAGGATGGTGATGGGCTCTGGCTGCAGTCTGGCTCCACTGGTCTGGTGTAGAACAGGATCTCTGGAGGCTGTTTGTAACTGTGGTCACAAAATTCAATGTTCTGGGAGAACGGGAAGCAGCTCCATTTTTTGGGGCCTCTTACATAGCTCAAGGTCTGGGCCGCAGGGCCTGACAGTGAGTATGCCCATAAAGCCCACCCATAAGTCCACCTATATGTTCCACCCATGAGTTCGCTCACAGGGAGTGGAGTGTGTAGGGGATGTGTTATGTGTTACTGTAGAGGATCTAATGTGTGTGCTTATGGAATGTAGTGTATAGGGATACCAGTTTGTGTAGGTGATGCAGTGTGTTTGTGTGTAGTAGAAGCAGTGTGTTTTTGTGTAAGGGATAGAAAGCAGTGAGTGTTTGTGTATAAGGGATGTATTGTATGTTTCTTGTTGTGTGTAAGGGATGCATTGTGTGAATCTATGTTTGTATGCATAAGGGATGCAAAGTGTGTTTCTGTGTATGTAAAGGATGCAGTGTGTGTGTCTGGAAGGGGTGCGTTGAGTGTGTGTAAGAGATGTATTGTGTTTCTGTGTCTGTGTAAGAGAAGCAGTGTGTGTTTGCATGTGTGTGTAAGGGATGCATTGTGTGTTTCTGTGTATATGTGCAAAGGATGCATTTTCTTTATGTGTAAGGGTTGCATTGTGTGTTTCTCTGTGTGTAAGGGAAGCATGTTGTGTTTCTGTGTGTATAGGGATGCATTGTGTGTGTGTGTGTGTGTGTGCGCGTGGTGTGAAAGAGCACCCTGACCAGCCCCCTGTCCTATAGAGCTCTCCCTTCCATTCCTTAGAGTTCTCCCCTGCCCCTTAGTGGTCTCTCCTCTCCCCCCCCCCCC